CCAACACGCAATTCGGCGAAGGATATGACCTCGGCGATCTAGCATGGCTCACTCTTGGCGCAGTTGGCCCGGAACGCCCACCGACTATCTAATCACTCGCCGCAGGTCTATACGCGGCGAGTGATTAGATAGCAGAGAGCGTTAGCGTTGAAGAGGGCACAGCGATGAGAGTCGCATCAATGCGAAATCAACGGGCAAGGAAGGGGTCCCATTTCTCGGGTTCGGGCCGTTTCACATGGTTTCTTCTTCATCCCTGCTCCACTGACCACCTCTACCCTTATTTCCATAAGCTACATTTTCATCGTAAAATCTACCTTTAAATCAAGAATTACTGGGTGTAGAGAAAGACAAACAAATAAGAATAAAAGCTTATCGACCTGTTCACTTAAAGCAACAGTCCCAGAGGGTGGGCGTGGTCGGAATCGGCCGAGGGGATTGAAGTCGTTTCCGACCACGCCCACTCTGCTGGGACTGTTGCTTTAAGTCAATCGCGGAGAAAGGACCGAGCAAGTCCCGGTTCCAACAATTTCAAATACAACAATTGAAACATGAAATATTTTGCTAACAGGAAGGCTGGTGTGGGAGCTAATCCAAGATGAAGTAGGCAGTTCTTCGGGATTAGAACCCTCACCATCCCTCGAATGCACTTGGGGTTTCCAAAATAAACAAATTTAGAGACAAAATTAAACAACAACGACAATAATCCTGATGATAAACTTTGAATAAAAAACACGATATCAACGAAGACAACAAAGCTACTAGGTAACATTATCAATTTAACAACAAAGCCATAACTAAATTGTCCTATGGTGAAAAATTCGGGACTTAAAGCTCCTCATGATCCACAGTTTCGCTTTCTTCATGCTCTTCTGCGCCCTCCTCTGGCATTTCTACAGTACCGTCATCTTCCAGAGACTGAAAAATCACTTATATGATTCATTTCCTTTGTTTAATAATATCTGAACTTGTTCAAGAGTACAATGAACGGGATGAATTACGAGAGATCGCCAAACCTCAATTGCCAGCCACTCATCGGTTGTTCCTACTCGAAGACCTGCCACCTTCTTTCCTCCTTGCACGAGATTTACAGACATCTTCCATTCACCCTAGAAAAAAACGTAATATATAATATGTAAAGGGGAGTAGGACTGAAATGGGATAAAATTTATCTTTATTGGATTTCTCGAGAAATTTTTTACGAATGAGGTAAAATTTTGGGGTCTCACGGAAAACCTGGAACTATTCCGTTTGACTGCACTTTGCCTGGATATTGTTAGTACAGTATCTGGCTTGCTGTGCAGAGGGTGAAGAGGCGGATAGTGGGAGCAGGGCTAATAATAACGTCGCTCAGAATTTAATAATACGACTTTCCGGAGGGTCCTGTTTCACCCAACCTCCTATCCGCTTACGACTTCCATCAATATCTGTTTCATAGAATTACTTCGAATTCTGGCACCGTGAAATTTCGGCTTTGTGTTGTTGGCCCATCTTGTGAACGTATTTTAATGCAACTATTATAACTATAAATAGAAATTGAAGTCCAACGCCTGGGAAATCTGATAGGGTCCATCCGGGTCCGGGTCCTTCGCGGCTGTCCCCCCACCGGTGCTGGGTACTCCCTCGCCGTGATATTCTACCCGTTTTTAGCGGAGAAGCAGAGCAGAACGTTCACGTTAATGACCTTAGCCCCGATGAGACTCTCTCCTACATGGAAATGAGAGGGCGGGGGTGCCGTTTTGCGGACTCCAGACCGTTTCTCTCACAAGCAGTTTCTTTTCCCTAACTGCTGCACCTTTCAGCACCTGCACTTTCTTTCTCAGCGTGCGACCAATTTGTCGTACCACCAGCCTTCAAATCTCCAGAATTTAGAAAGAGCAAAGAAAAGAAACAGGAACGTGTGAAATGTGAAGACTCACTCCGAGTTGTGGGATTGGCAGTGGCCCGAAGTCAACGAACTCCTTCCCTAAGAAGGGAGCAATCGCAAGTGGAGACGGCGTTTTTACACCGAGCATTCCGCATAATGATGATATTTCGCATAAATTCATGTTGCTGCAATACATTGATGTTGACAAATGATTGTAGCAGTCAATTTTATATCGTTTATATGATGATTTCAGCTTTGAGTTGTTTGCTGGTCATTTGTATGTAGGTATTATAACTGTTATAAATCATGATAGAGCTTCACGCAGCGCCTAGAAAATCTGAAAGGCCTCCTTGGTAGTTTTCTCTCATAAAATACTTCATACTTATTTGGACAGAAAGTGGCAACGGTTACGGTCAACGGTCGAAAATTCCTCGACAGCAGGCTCTATTTGCCTTGTGAGAGGCGGAGGGGCCCGCAGACGGGAATAGTGGGCGATTAGGACAGGGTCAACTGTGCGTCGCTCCAATGTCAGAACGTTTGAGACTCTCTCCCTGTCTTCTGTGAAGGTTCCGTTATGACCCCATTATCGGCATTGGTAGGAGTTCAAAACGACCTCCTTACCACCCCCTGCCGCCACCCTAACCACCATCGCTGTTTCTACACATAGTACTTCGCACTCTTACACCAGTAGATACACTCCAACTCACGATCAGCCCAATTTTCCCCTGAAAAGGATTTATCGAACGGGGTAAGTATTATAGAATGAGATGTCCAAAGAAACTGCGGATATGTTACACTTTTTTACTTCACCCTTCTTTCGTAACAATCTCTGAAGTCTTGGAGAGTTTAAGAACGACTCCTCTCCCCCCCAACCTACCCAAAATCGCCAGTGGCAATCGCCCAAATCGCGATGTGCAAAATTTGACTGTGCCAATACTGCTGGGTTGCGGGGCAGTTACCCATGAAAGGTAAATGTTTTTCCTAATTGTTTTTGGCTGAACATGGTGTAGGAGTGACGTTACAAGAGGCACTGACCACATCTCACTAGGGACGAACTGATTCTTGCTAACACCTTTGTCGCACACAACGCCGATCATAAACGAGTTCTTCTCCAGCGAAATCTCAAGCATAAGTTTGTTCTTGCCTTCCTTCACGGGCTCGACTATTTCAACAGTACCTGGAATTGAAATACAGCCTCAATTGTACGAAACAAAGAAAGAAAACTGCATGTGAATTCGCACCCACCTTTCAAGAACCTTGAAGTGTCCAGGAAATGTGAATTGCGGCTTTCCATTAGAGCAAATAGGCTTCTTGTATTTATCGTAAGTTCCGATTTCCAGATCTTTCACCAGAATTTTACCCTTTCCTGGAAAAACATCGTTTACCTCTGAGCGATCTGCTTGAAATCAACTATCAGCGAGCCCTCCCATTGGCGCATACGATCTACCATCGCCTACTTTTGAAAAATTGGTTTTGCTGGTTTTTTGGGATGCGAATATCTGAGTAGGTTACATCATTGTTCTATAGGAGAGGATTGTTTAGACGAAGTTTCGAGCATCTTCCATCACCGAAGGAACTTCTTCAGTGACATCAATTTACTCCACTAGCGCTTCAAATTTGGTCGGGTTAGCCATGAAATGGTTTTCACCTTTTCAGGCGAAACCCCGAACGTTAGCCGACAGAAGACTTATCAATCTCGCATGGTTGTTGAATCAAACGAAGGTTGTAACTGCCGCTAAGTCGAATTCTGCGCTTGTTAGTGGAAAATGAGTTACGGCAGACGGTCACGTTAACAAACGCGCTGAGAGCTGCGTGAGGCGAGAGTGTGCGACGTTCGGAGTCCAGCTGTGGGGAGGAATTTTGTTACTTAACCTAACATTGTTTGTGAAACGTTCGCAAAGCGACTGCGGCCAGGAAGCAGCAGTTAGTTGCAGTCAAAAGAACAAGTTCAAGTCGTACTGCCATGCGGAAGTTCATCAACAGTCGAACAGTTCAATTCTCTTCTGAGGTTTTCCCTTTATCGTCATAAAAACTATGAAGGATTGTTGTAGAAGTGAATAAGAATGTCCTTGGATGGCAACATATGTGCATTTCATGGAATAAACAAGATAAAAAATACCTTTTGCAACATCGCGAAGAAGGCTTAAGCTTTTGCTTCCTCTTTGTCATTACGCGTTGTTTTGAACAAAATTCCCTGCTTCTCATTTAACCAGGGAAGGCATTCAACTTCCCATGGAACTTTGAATTGAGACCCAGATATATCGATAGAGCTTCAAACGCTGATTACAAATATGGAAACTAAAACTGCAAAATGAACCTGCCAAGGAAGTTGTGAGCAGTCAAAGTTGGAAGTAAAGCGTAACATATGAACCGTGCTAGCGTCCGGGCATTCAAAATCGCCGTGGAGTAGTGGTAGTGATCTCGAACTTTGCACATGAACGGGAACAGAATTCATGACCTACCGGCTGGAGAGCGAGAGCATTACCGCTACTCCACGGCGGCTCTGAAAGCCCGAAGGCTGGCACGGTTCATATGTAACGCTTTACTTCCAGCCAACTTTGACTGCTCACAACTTCCTTGGCAGGTTCATTTTGCAGTTTTAGTTTCCATATTTGTAATCAGCGTTTGAAGCTCTATCGATATATCTGGGTCTCAATTCAAAGTTCCATGGGAAGTTGAATGCCTTCCTGGATGAGTGATCTCCAGGCTTTTATCATTGATGAAATTACTATGTGACATTCATATTTTTGTCCCGAAATAAACCAATGCAAGGTCGGCGCGCGAGCAAAATCGCCCCTGTCACGCGTCCAGGAAGGTCGAACACTCGACCACGTAAAATGTGTTGAAGACATGCTTCAAGATCAGCGTCCGAAAATACGTTTAGTGCTTTAGCCTACACGGCAACGTCAGGTACTTATGTGGGTACTCTGAGCGGTTTCGTACTGCCAACGTGAGATACCCTACATCCATATTCAATGAATCAAAACCATTTACTTCCTTCACTTTAATCCAAATATTGCTTTGATGTTCCGACCTTTCGTTGTGTCGTAGATTTTGATAACGTTATCCTTTCCGTCGACACATTTCTTGGAATCGACGAAGACAGCTCCAACCGCAAGAAGGCCAAGAATCGATCGAAGCATCCTAAATATATATTGCATTTTCCCTAACGCCATATACAGTGCTCATCAAACGATGCAAATATTAATGTTTGGAGCTCAGAGGGTGAAATAATTAAGAGTCATGAGAAAGAAGATGGAGGCATAGCCGAAGAACTGATATGTGGCCAAGAAACAAAACTCATACGGCAAAAAGATGAATAATTTGAAAGAGTGATGTTAGGAGCGAAGGATATCCATAGGATGACGTGTCACAGCTG